CCTGAGGGCCCAATGAACGAACAAGTGCCCTTGCGGGTCACACACACACTCAAGCCAACAAGCACTCAGACAGACATGCAGACCAGCAAGCGTGCACCGACACAGACTTAGGGAACTTACTGGCAAGCGGGAAAGTCAGCAAGGCATTCAGTTCATGAGCAAAACTCAGAAATTAGCTGTGTGTCTCAGTCCGCGTTTGGTCGGGTCATCACAGATCAACCATTGGAACTCAAGAACGGCTAGTTACATGAATGACAAGTCTCGAGACAACTGCACATGCCACATATGAGTGGGAGAAAAAGAGTCATGAGAATTTAATGAATCTCAGATCAAATGACCGCCCTGGTTGAAGGAAATGATCATTGGGCAATGGGTATTCAATTCGATAATTCGATTGGGATTTGTTTTATGAACTTTGTGGGTGATATGTTCATCCTGGTTCGTCTGTTTGTGGAATCTTGTCCTGCTGTTTTACCTTGTGTGCACCTATATCTGATCTCATCATTTCAGGGACTTTACACAGTGGACGTGGAGAACAAGGCGATTCAAGTAGACACATTTTGCGTGCATGGCAAACCTGATGGATACATCACTGGCATACGAGGCAAGGTGCAATGCGTGCCAGAGTCGACACTGGAGATGGTCGCGACCGACCTGGAGCGACAAGAGATGGTGAAGGAGAAGTGTTTCCTGCGATTTCCGACACTTCCATTTATTCCGAAAGAGCCGTATGATGTGATTGATACGGACTATGACACGTTTGCCCTCGTCTCTGGCGCGCGAGATACAAGCTTTGTTCAGGTGAGTTGTCATTCCATTCCTGTATGTGTACTTTGGGCATTTGAAAGCCGCAACTTTGGCGATTTTTCGTGCTCAGAAGATTTCTTTAAAAATTCTGAAAATTCGAGAGTCTGTAGATTAAGTTGTGATCTTTCAAGGAAAAATATCAKAATAAATAAATAAAATAATTTTGACCGTGAAATAATCGCCGCGCTGATTCGGCGCATTTCCGATTTTTTGAAGCAAAATTGTCGCAAATTCGCCATTCACCCGGTTTTCCACTCTATGCTACCGGCACCCCTCGTGAAACGGCGCTACTGGTAGGAGGAGGTTTTTTGCGTCGGGGGGAGTGGCGGATTAAGTGGCACTTGGTGG